ATGCATTGTATTTCCACTGATTATGATACTGAGACACTGAGTTCATTTTGACGTGCTATTTACTTTCTAAGTGGAAATTAAAATGTTTATCAAGATAATCCATTTATTAGGGTGAGAAGTGTATTGAATTGGTGGCGTTGGCTCACTGAACATCCTATGTGGTGTTCACATTTAAACACAGGATCCAGAAATTAAAAAAAAAAAGTTTATATCAGTTATGGTAGGTTATGGTTTGCACAGGTGTGTGGTGAATGTGGATGAATTCTTCTATACAAAAAAATATATTAAAGAAATGTTACAAATCTGAATCAATACAAACAAACAAAACTACTAATAAGAAATGAATTTGATCATTTAACTTACATCATTAACGCATCCACAATCTAGCCTTATTTTTAAAAAAAATCGTAGAATATAGCATGAACACAAACTATTAACTTAAAACAGAATGTAACACATTAATCATGGTTTAAAAGTGAAAAAGTCAACGTTAACTATCACAGCAGGTTGTCTTTGTTCTTCTTGGTATGGTTTGGAGGGTAAAAAAAGGAAATTAGATGAAAAGGAGTGGAGCTATATAATTTGGGGGGAGTGGTTTAGAGAGGAGTGGAGTTTTTTTTTTTTTAATTGACTGCTCTCAGCAGTTTTAAAGAGATCAGCCACACGATCTGCCAGTGTATTCAAACTATGAGTAGGATGAACAGATCTTTAACTCAATAAAATAAAGTTAAGCCATATGCAGCTTTGATTTCACAACACATCTTAAAGTACAAAAGACAGGGGATGGGGCAGGGTTGTTGTAACTGTTTAAAACATGTTTGATTACCTTGCAGTTGCTGGTTATGGATGATTTTGTACGTAATAAATTAACTGAATGGGGTCTCGCCGAGCTGATTGAAAGATTTAAAGGTAAAGTATTCCCATGCTTCTTTTTGGAATGACCTACCAATACTCAAACCACCAAGCATCTACTCCTTTAAAAACAGTTGGGAGAGATCAGTGTTCATCATCATGCCAGTTTTTGTCTCTGTTTGTATAAAAGCACAATAAAACCTTGTGTATTTGCCCACAGTTTAAGGAACACTTTATTATCTTAAGAGTTACATCTGTTTGTCAGCATTTTCATTCGACTGAGAAGTGACAAAATACAATCAAATCAACATGCATTCAGCTCATAAAACCATGCAATTTCATAAGAAGTAGGGTCTAGACCTGCTCTATATGAAAAGTGTCCTGAGATAATGTCTGCTATGATTTGGCACTGTAGAAAAACAAAGGACTTGAATTGAAAAATGTGCTCTGTGAGGTTGTAATGCACTAAAAAAGTAAAACTAACAAACCTACACCATTTCAATTGTCGTCACCTACCAATTTTTCTTTTTTTGTTCTATTACAGATGAAGGCATTGACGAGGAAATTCTTTACCTTCTTGATGATCCAGAAATTGATAGCTTGATCCCCAGAGTGGGACACAGGGCAAAATTTAAGAATAAACTCAAGTTGTTAAAGGTAAAGTTCTTCATTGTAAAGATAGTTTACATGAATACTGTATTTGGACTCATAAATCTTACTATGTAGACATCTGCATTTATAATTAACATCAAGAATGTCTGTTAAAAGTTCTGATGATGACTACAGACTCACTGACAATAATGGCATTTACCAGAATTTTAAATGTTTTAACTATTATGGATTTGCAACTATTTCCTATTGTCACTAGG